GCGAAACAAAGGACCCGCATGGTGTGGTGGTGAACGCGTTACTCCCCGGAAAGGACAATAGCGCGTTCGTTCCCCACCATAGACACCTGCGGTCCAGAGTTTTGCAAATATCTCAGCAACGTTATGAGTAAAATATTTGTGAAGATACTCACCGATCGAAGTTTCTTTAGAAACTCTTCGATTTCCATATCAAGTTTGTCAATGGGGTCTAGCACCGTGTCGGTCATCGTTTTGTTTATCTTCAGTTGCAATGATTCCCATTTTTCAACCACATTTTGTGTAGCTGCTGTCACAGACTGTGTCTTAAATGAGGAGAAAAGAATAAGATTGGAAAAAAAACCAATCTGATAATAATAATAATAATAAATAATAATAATAATAATGATAATAATAACAATAATAATAAGGCTCTAAAGCTGTCGGCGTTGATCAATCCTTGAAGGATGCGCAATGCGTTCGACTTCATTGGGTATCTTTGGAGGTGATTGAATGCATGTCTGGTCTTTACAATAACTCGCAGTGGCCTACCGATGTATCCAGCCAGTGCTGCTATCCTCCCAGACAAGTCTGGTATCAGGCTGAACCTCGGATCAGCCGGTATGAAGCATGCATGACGACGAGTAAAAGATTCTTGTTCCCTTTAAATAATGTCGGAAGCCTTTTGTTTGGCATGTCCAATGCCTTGCAATCACTCTGTTCGTTGGTAGCACCACTGGATACAGTGCCTTTACCTTCGATACCTTCGATTACAGGAACTGTGGCATCATTTCTTTCTAAACTTGTGTTGCCATCTCTATTCAAGTATCCCTCATGAGATTTCAGGCAGTGGTCATCATCAAGCTGTGGTGCAGAGGGTACAGGAAGGCTTTCCGCAAATTTTCCCTGATCTGTGCTCTCAAACTCTGATATCTGCTTGGGAGCCAAGCATTCCCGAACACTCTTCGTCCGGATAGCACAGTGGCAGTGATGTCCGTCATCACGAGCATGGGTGCTAGTTCGATTCCGCTCGAGGCCAATCAAGCCTTTCATCTCTCCGTGATCGGGAAATTGGTGCCGGATTTACCTGGAGGAAAAATCACTTTCTGCGATCCAATTGGGAACGCACCAGCACGGCTATCTCAGGACTCTAGATAGAATTGCTCAACCAGCACTCTGCGACATTCAGGATGAAAATGGAAATCAAGTAGCAATCGAAGCCACACGTAAAAGTTGGGAGATCTTCGTGGAAAATGGATGCGAGGAAACGAATCGAATGTGAGAAGTGCTGGGATCTGCACAGTAGACGTGAAGACGGATTAAATAAGATAAAGAAGGAAGTATGACCGGAAATGTAACTCACTGTTCCGTTAAGTTCTGTATTTATTTGATTGAGCGCCTGATCCAATGTATCCGATGTTGACAGAGCTCGCTAAAAGAGCGACTGCACTTAAATAGGACAAGGATGTGCTTCACAACACCTGAGTTGTCCTGGATCAATTTCCACTCAATGCATGGCATAACTTCACCACTTATTGCCTAAGCCTCCTTCTCAGTCTCTTTATTGCTTACCATAGAATAAAGGGATTCGTATGGCAGGATTTTTCAATACCTGCTCCAAAGATTGCAGATTTTTGCTTAGATCGCCGAGAAGTGTCTTGGTCAACGTAAGCTGTTGGTTACATTTTTTATCGTTGACGATGTTCGTCAACCGTAATGCTTCTATCGATTGGAGTAGATTCGCAATATTTCGGTGACAGACGGATATCCGATTTTTCATCGCAGTCAGTTGATCGTTGAGCTGGAACCCATCAATTCATCAATAATAACCCGAAGAGAGCTCACGTATGCTCTCAGGATGCTATATACAAGAGATACGGTAAAAAAAACAATAGAAAATCGTCACCTTGTCAAAGTCGAATATTCCAGACATCTGCTTTAGATCGTTTAAAGAAACGCGAAGAAGTTCTCGAGTACTATTGATCACCTGTTTCATAAAAAACTGAAGATTATGCTTGGTTATTTTTATTAGGGCTACACAAGGTACGACATTAGCACCTGTAATGATGACTATAGTGATGATAATGTACGGGTAATAATGTGAAGATCATTACAGATTCAGCAATTCATAGAAATACCTTCGAAACCAACCAAATTTTATCTGAGTATATTGGATTGGGGACAGTAATTAGTGGAGAACACTAAAAAGAGCGTCGCCAACCGGTTCAATACATATCTTTTCAACCAGGAATACTGTAATACTGTTGAAGTGGTGGAAAGCGTAGTTAAATGTCAAATTCTGCCGCTGATACTTCTATTCACCGGAGAACTGAAGATGGGGACATTTTGAGGATCAGTCTGAGTTACAGAATAGTCGAAGAAAACCGCAACAACGAATCGGCTTCGCTGTTTTTATCCGAAAAATAAAGGAATGCTTGCATGCTTCTGCGAAGAAGTTGGGTCATAACCTCACATTCTTCCGTGAGAAATCTGAGAGCGGCATCAGTTCTTGTACAGTGATTTACAAATACAAAAAATAAGGCTAAGTTAGAGGGCAAAATAAAAAACCTTGTTTAAGATTTGCTCTGCCAGCGGCATTTAACTTTTGCTTTTGCTGATAGGGATACTTGTCTACATCTCCATGTGTCCGAGTTAACCTTTCAAAAAGCTTACAAAAATATTTTTCCATCCAATCAACACTTACTGTTTGACTCACTTTAAAGGGATGTCATATAATTGATGTTAAAGTGTGATGAGTTGAACCCA